TGACCCGACAGGAGTTGTTTACATCCAACTATAATCCTACAATGGCGGATGATGATAATGATGATTATAAACTTTAAATTTAAGTTGTTGTAGTTTTTAAATTTAAGTTGTAGTTTTTAAATTTAAGTTGTGTTGTAGTCTCTAAATTTAAATAATAAATTATATTTGGCCTATGATCCTTTGATCCCCTCGGTTGGAAATGGTTTTTTGTCACAGAGCTATATTTTTAAATTTAAGTTGTGTTGTAGTCTTTAAATTTAAATAATAAATTATGTTTGGCCTATGGCCCTTTGGTCCCCTTGGTTGGAGATAATTTTTTGTCACAGGGCTATGTTTGGCTATGGCCTGATACTATTCATTAAAATATTAATTTCTTGGAGGGCTATAGGGCTAAAAGGAGTCATCTAGCCCTCTAGCCCTCCTTCTGGTGGAGATGGCCTGAGGATCCTCTCTGGATCCTCATTGTGAGGATCCCGGAAATCCTCAAATCATGTCCGTTCATCGTACATTGTGCGGCCAGAAATCATTTTAAATATTTTATTTAAAATTAAATATGATAGTACTTGACGAAAACTTACCACACAATGTATGATGAACAGACACGATTTGAGGATCCTCATTCGTAAGAATGGAGGTTCAGTTTGAAAATAAAGCGTTCGTATTCATTCACAAGAGTTGAACTAACTCACTGCATTATAACTTTTTAAATCTGATACTTTCATAATTTTTATTTTTATTTTTTTTGCTTAAAATTCTTATAGGTTTGCTCAGATGAATAAATGAGAACAGAAGCCGACTAAATATGTAATCTTATAACTTATATGGAACAAGAAAATAAGGGCACCAACAAATCTCAAAAAAATTTATAAGTGCCAACCAGTGTAAGTGTGTACAACTGGGGGTAATAATGCACTAATTCAAGGGATTTTTTTTATAGTGTTCTGCAGTATCAGATACTCTAGACTTTTGTTAAATATTTGGTCGAAAGCATAAAAAAATAAATATCTAACAGTTAAAAGATCATGAGTACATACAGGATACTCCAGAACAAGATAAAATTATTGCTAATCTGGTGCTCAAGTTACCATTACAGTGTGAGCAATGTATTAATAGAACGACGTCAAAGTGAGTTCGCACTAAGTCCAGCACTGCACTGATTGAAAAACAGAAAACCTATACGAGACTATATACGAGTTCACACAATCCATCCACATTCAACTTTTTTCCTTCAACTAATTCAAATTCAATTTATTCAACATCTCCCTCAAAAATATAAAATAAATAAATAAATTATTCAACATCAACAAAAATCTCACAATGATGTGAATGTGATGCATGCATGTTTGCTTTTTGAACCAAATCCCATTACTTCGTTTCTAGAACCCGAGCGACCGAAGACTGAGAAATTCTTAATTGTCCTCGAGACAAATTATAGCTCCTCATTCCATGGGTGGAAAACAACATTTTCTTCCCAGTATTGACTTGTCCCAAAAGGTTTAAAATAAAATTCTTTGATATTTTTAGGTTGTAATTCCACAGTTCACGTTATATAAAGTTACTAATACAAAAATAACTATATAGCTAGTCCTCCTAAGGTTAAATTCTATGCAAAGAAGAGCTCAAAATCAAGTAATTTAGAATTTAAGATTATATATAATATGTAAATGTCAGTTTTTCTGAACATAATTTATAGCCGATTTTGAATTTTTGACGTATATTGTTCACGTCGATATTGTGCTTATGTATAACCAAAGATTTAAATATCCACAAAATTGTTGACATTTTCGTCAAAATAACAGAAAAATAAAGGATCGATATAGAAAGGGGGGATGAAATGAAAATTTTAGCCTATATCACCGAGATATAGAAAAATTAATAAACATCGACGGTATTACCAAATCCTTGCATAAATTTTATCGGAATCCATTGCAGATTTTTTTGAGAAAATTTCCTCTATTTTCGACTAAATCTGACTGAGTTGATATACCCTCCCCATTGCAAACTTTTATATATTATTTTCATCGAAGGCAACTGATATATATATACCGATATTTCCTAAATTTGTAATCAATATTTCCACCTATATGAATATTTTAAACACTGTGTAGGCTTGAAGACACGAGATGAAATACTCCTAAAAAAACAAACTAGACATTCCAATAACCCTAAAATTGTAGAATAACTTCATTTTAGCTTTCACTACTACTAGTGGAGATGTACAAACAGCATATCCGGTTTGGAAAATGTCTCTAACAAAATGATATACTTCTTTTATCATGTTGCGTTCTTATCTCTCTAGCTAGGTATTTGACCAAAAATAAAAATCTCTCTCGATCTGCATTTGCTTCGCATTCTACACATAGTATCAAATTCCAAATTCTGGGTCTAAACCAACATTATTGTGCTGGTCCCTTCAAAAAATTCGAAGTAGCTAGAGGATAAATGTTTGTTTTTTATTTTTATTTTGTTGGGTTTGAGTGGAGGCCATAGGCCAATGGACGAACAATTTCCCCATTTGCAATACTGGGAAGAGAGAGAGTTAATAATTAAAGAGCATATACCAAAGTTGAAGGCAACGGTGGCTACGAAAGTTGAAGGTAATAGTGGCAATGGTGGCATATATAACAACCTAGTGGAAAAGAATACAATACCAAAATTCGCATATATAAATGAAACCGAAAGCTGGAGCCAAGTATAGCCTAAGAGTAGATCATGAAATGGTTTTAACCCGAAACGCATAGGGTTGAAAAGCTCCTTATTACCAAAGCAATTCACTACTTGTTGATGTATTTGGTTGAATTGTTTTTTTTTTCTTTTGAAAATTGAAATAACATTACAAAGGGAGATCCCCCCCGGCAGTTGTCAAATTAGGATATTGTGCTACTCATTTTTGTTATTATACGGAGTTGGATCGTTGAATTGATTGATTCCCTCCCATATTCAACCAATATTGTTCTACAGTTTTTAGTGGTTACTGTTGATTCCGTCTGTTTATTTAACTTAATAAGAAGAAATCTTTGTTATACTAACCATATGGGACGAGGACTATCCTTCATGTTAAAATTAACCGTATTCGTAAAGAACCTACTCAACTCAATTGGTTGTTTGAGTTAAAGGGGGAGTAATTTTTGAGTCCTTTATTGTCCACCATTAAACTTTTCATTTTAGCATTGACAAAATCTGTCGAAATCTTAGTCTTAATCAAACTCAAATGGCCATTATAACAAACCTTAATCCCTATCTGGATTAGATTTCAGAGTTGATATAGGAAACAAGTAAGGTTAGAGTTTAATTATGAGTAGTCCTTGTGCATCAAGTTAAGTGATAATTCCGAATTTAAATTAGTGGAATCAAGAGATTTCTGTTGTTCTTCATGATTTTAATTAATAGCACAAAACCGTGCTCTGATACCTCATGTAAGTCTTATGCCATTAGAACACAATGAATACGCTAACCTAGAATGATCGACATGATGAACTGCAATTAGAATGAACTCAAGATCTTCTACTCACTCATTGCACCTTTGTCACAAGAACTATATGGGGAGTTTCAGGGTTTTGTGATGATTGCAGCGTGAGCAGCGACCTCAAGTATTTACAGGCTTCAATCTAATAGAGTCGTACCCATAAATAGACTCTACTTGAAGCCCTACTAGCCTATGGATGTAATACCAAAGCATACAAGGCTTTCTTAGCACACGAGAAATCCTTAATTGCGCTAATTTTCTTTTTGAACAAACGATATTATCTACACTAAGGGGTGAGGGTGGGCTAAGCATCATAATGACCTAGCAATAATGTGGTTCGAATTCGTCTTTGACGAGAATCGAACTCAAGACCTCTCACTTACAAGTGAAAAAGAATACCACTAGACCTTTTATTAAATTTACAAGTAAAAAGGAATACCACTAGACCTCTCACTTAATTGCACTAGTTTAAATTTGGGACTACCACTTAACTTGGTACTCAAGAAATAATCATAATTAAACTCTAACCTTACTTGTCTCCTAAGTTAATTGTAAACTGAATCCGGATATGAATTAGGGTTTTAATCTAACACTCTATTCTCCACCATTACTATTTTCTTTTGGTATAAATTAAGAGTGCATAAAGGAAAGTAAAGAGTGTAAAAATTATTACCCTATGAGTTATACTAGCGGTATAAAAAATGGGTAAGGACTGACATTCTCACGCATCCTTGTTAAAAAAATTTGTACTCCCTTACATTATTATAATAATTTCAAACTCTCTCTCGCCTCTTAATAAAAGCTATGCATTATCGTAAAAAGTCACATTGAAAAAGATTTCTAGCTTAAGATCATTGATTAAACATGGATTTAATAAATTTGATAGCAAAAGCTAATAAGCATATTATGACTCGTCTGAAAGTGCTTATAAAATAACTGAAAACGTTTTTAATGAGAGTGTTTTTGGAATTAATCTTCAGTAAAAATACAAGTGAATCATAAAAAAAGATTTCACGTACTCTTGAAACAAAAAAACACTTTAATCAAAATGTTTTCAATCATAAACACTTTCACACGAATCGTTATCAAAACAGCATCATCTTCAACTGTAAGCTTATATTGTCGTATAAGATTTGAACTGAGTTGTCGACATAATAATAAGCTTTTACTCGATTGAGGATTTTATCGAATTGGTTTCGTCGTCGTAAGTCGTAACGTAGGAACCGTTTATTTAGTTGATCCAGTAAATCTCACAGTTTCCCTTTCACCTTTCAGTTCAACAGTTATGGATCACGTGCCTAGCACGTGGGAGATCACGTAAACCACACATTTACCACGCGTCAAAATGAAAAGACGAAAACAGCCTCACATAGACCTGAATATCGAACCCAAAACGAAAACTCCCGCTACTTTCCCTACGCCACGTCCACGCGTCAAAAGGAAAAGACAAAAACGCCCTCACATTTACCTGAATATCGAACCCAGAACGAAGGGTAAAAACTATATAAACCGACTCCCGCTATTTTCTGCTTCTCTAGCCAACCGATATACACAGCGCCCTTCTCTCTCTCATGGATTCCCCTTCTAGCTCCTCCGTCATCATTGTCGGCGCCGGAGTCTCCGGTGAGTGCCAATCGCCACCGTCGATTTTCCAATTCCTAATTTTAACTCTCGTTTCTCACTTCGTCCGTTTAATTTCTTCTTATTGAAAGGTTTATCGGCGGCGAAGGTATTGATCGAGAACGGCGTGGAGGACGTGGTGATTCTGGAAGCTTCCGACCGTATAGGAGGCAGGATCCGAAAGCAGGATTTCGGCGGTGTATCGGTGGAGCTTGGCGCCGGTTGGATAGTCGGAGTCGGAGGCAGAGAGTTGAACCCGGTCTTGGACCTCGCCCTGAAATCGAATCTCCGCACTATCTTCTCCGATTACAGTAATGCTCGCTACAACATCTACGATCGCAGGTCCATTACGACGCCGTTTCTCTTCGGTTCATTCATTTATTTAGCTAATTTGTTCCCTGCATTTTCGCTTCGCAGCCGTAAATTAGCTTCCACGACTTTTGTGTGCTACTTTGCGCCGTTGGAGAATTAATTGGCCTCCGCATTTTTGTCATACCGTCGCACTTTAGAATTTTCTTTTTTGTGCTGCTAATCTGCGCCGCGGGTGGAGAATATTAATAACCAACTCGCCGAGTTAACTGGGTATTTTACTTTTTTTTTTCAGCGGGAAGATATTTCCTAGAGGACTCGTGGAAGAGACGTACAAGAAGGAAGTGGAGTCGGCGGTGCAGAAGCTGAAGAAGCTGGAAGCCGGCGGCGGCGATTTCTCAAATGTCACCGAACCGCCCACGTAATCTCCTTTCTCAATCGTTTTAATGTCTCGATAGCTTTGGCTTCTAATTATTAACAAATCCAATTTTTTCAAATTATTATTATTTTATTTTAGTTTTATTTATTATTATTTGCGTTTTCTGTATTTTGTGGTAATTTCCGCGAAATTTAGCTGAAAGCGTTGATTTTGTACATTATTCACAATTATTTTATTTTAGTCGTGTGGAATTTGATTGTTTGGTTTATGGGTGTGGTTTGTCCAGTACACAGAAAACGCCGATAGAGCTCGCCATTGATTTCACCCTACACGATTTTGAGATGCCAGGTTAGTTTTCACAGCTCATCCTCGGTCAATTTTCTGTTTGGATGCTGAGACAAGAATATGAAATCCCCAATTTTTTATTTTCTAGTTATGCTTTAAGAATTTGTAGTTAAAATGGTTATTGAGATTGTCATAATTTCTCATTTTAGTCTCTGATATTGAATGTCGATAAAAATAGTCTCTAAGTTTGTGTTAAATTATTACGCGAACGATCACGTGATCACGAGTGTTTTTGTTAAACTAGCCTCATCATTTAACGGTGATATTGACAGATTTTTCATAAAATGATCAAAATGATTTGCGGTGAAGAAAGATTATTTTTATTGATTTTAATTGTCATGCAACAAAGTGACGATTATTCAAATCTTAATAACTATTTTGACTAAAATGTCTTGTTTTAAAAATGCAATTGATTCTTTGGGCGGCACATAAAGGAACTTTGTTTTTTAATTTATATTTTTTTGGTCAAATAATAAATTTGTTGGATTAGATGTTAAAGTAGGGAACGAGGTTTGAATCAAGATAGAAGACAACATTTCTTTCCACTACTATAGTAGAGAGCCATTTGCTTGTAATTTATCTGGAAATCTTGTTCTTTTATTTTGGCGATTGTTAGATGTAAATTAATTAAGGTTGGTAATGTTTTAGAAAATGATTTTTGAAGTACTATATTATAAAATGAAAACGACAAATAATATTTGGAAAAAATTTATTTTGATTATGAATTGTGAATTTGAGAAATGGAGGATTTTGATTGTGGTGCAGAAGTGGAGCCCATATCAACCTTTTTGGATTATGGAGAACGAGAGTTTTTGGTTGCGGATGAGAGAGGGTATGAGCATATGCTGTACAAAATGGCCGAAGATGTTCTCTTTACATCTGAGGGTAAACTGTTGGACAGTCGTCTCAAGTTCAATAAGGTACCAGAATCTCATCCTTCTCGTTTTCCACTTTTTAGCTTATTTGCTTTGCCCAATAATTTCGATTTGCTTAGAGATAAGATGTTATTAAGCAGCCCCGTACTCTTAGTACAAGTTATAACCCATTACTTTTAAGTCTATGATGATATAGACGTTTGAAAGTGCTATTTTTCTTGCTCTTGCCAGTAGTTCAGATCCGCTTAAGCGGTTGAGATGTGCTTAATTTAATTTAATCTTGAGATAATAATGAATTTCTAGTCCATTGACTTATCCTTCGTACAAGGCTTTAATCTTTGCTGCGTTACAAGGTCATGCTGTAAAGCTTTGCAAAATTCGCTTTCTCTACCCAATAATAGGATGAAAACAAAATGGACAGATGTGAGAAAAATACAAATAAAGGAAGAGAAAGTGGGAGGGGAAAACTCTGGATTTCTGCTTTGTTTGTATGCAAACGCAGTCTTCCTTTTCTTCTTTAGATTGACCCAGCTTTGGAGTCTGTAGATAATGACGTTTCTGAGAGCTGTTTTTCTTTTGTTTTATGAAATTATATAATACCTAATTTCTTCGAGGGTCAACTAATTTTTTTGTTTCTTTTTAGCAATTTTTTTTAGACTAAATTTAAAAATTAAATAATATAACACTAATAAGAAATAAATACATTAATTAACATTTAAATAATAATTTAATTATCAACTTCCATATCATTTAGTTTATAAAATTTAATCTATAAATTTAGTCTCTTTAGCATTACTTTATATACGTTAGTAACTTAGTGTGAATTAGTGCTATTCACACACATCATTGTATCTTTCACACATAATTCGATTCGGTGACCGAAAACTAAGAGTGTTTAAAAAGTGAAAATTGGTTTGTGGATAACACAACCCTATATATTATTGTATTTGCACGTGTTCACATAATTTTTATTTTAGTTTCCCAAGACAAGATATTTTTTTGCAGAGAATGCTTTACAATAATGTCGAAAAGAAATCATTTCTATACACTTGATTGCGAGTTTGATCCACATCAATCTCTTTTTATTTTTTTAATATGTAACAACTTACACATTATTGTTTGTTAAAACAAATATTTTTCGATTTTTTATTTATTTACCGTAGATAAATCATAAATTTGCCTTTTCTAAGCAATTATCCACCCATGAAACTTTGCATGTACACTTTTTTGTCATTTTTTGATATCCATTATCTAATAGGTAGGGTCATTCACATACCTATCTTTACTTTTAGCATACTTTGTTAATTTTTGTTTATTGATCTTCTTTAATTTATTAAATTCAACAACCAAAAATTAAAAAATTATGTAAAAAATAAAAATAAATGTGTAAATAACACAATTCCATCCAATGGTGGTGGTCTTTTTCGTATACATTGTTATATGAAAATTGCGTGGCTTCTTTGACTTCCATTTGCACAATTATTTACCTCCGAGCGGATCCGACACCTTTTCTTTCTTTTTCTCTTTTGGTTTTAACTCGTATAAACATGAAGAGACGTGATCCTTGAGACCTTTAAAGCCCCTTTGGCTTTTACCACTCACATAAATTTGTAGGCCCCAAGAGCAAGATAATAGGAAGTAGTGTTGTGCTGTCAACTTTTTCTCCAGTTCTTGGGCTGCTGTCTTCCCCTCCTCATTTGTTGAAATAAACAGATTTTATGTCACCTTTCATTGAGCAGTCTGCATGAAACAGACCTCGTGGCGCTTCAATGACAGATTTCAGTGCAATCTGGAGACAAATTTGCACGACATGATATTAATAGATTGAAGGGTTACAATGACAGAAAATTCGTTCTACGCAACATTTTTTCTTGTTTCTTTGTAACTTTAAAGACTAACATAAATGGGCTAATGATTTGAATTTTGAGCAGATTCCGCTTCAATAAATCTTTTCCCTCTCATCTCCCAATGAATTTTCTCTTATGCATATTTAAGTTACACATCTGAACAAGAGCCGTTAAATTTTATTAAGTTAAATAATTTAACAACTCTTTTTAGATGTTTAACTTAAATATGTATTATAGATACCCTTTATCTTTGAATTTCAAGATCTTATGGGGTGGTTTCCTTGGAACTTCACATGTTACTTTTTATGGTTTTATAGATATTTTTACTGTTATCCATTTATGAGAAGATGATTCCAAGCTTGATTTGGGGCAGGTTGTTCGGGAGTTGCAGCACTCAAGAAACGGCGTTACGGTAATGACGGAGGATGGTTGCGTCTTCCAAGCAAATTACATGATTTTGTCAGTTAGCATTGGTGTTCTCCAAAGCAACCTCATTGCTTTCAATCCACCCTTACCCGTACGTCTCTTTTGTTCATATCATTTCAATGAAATGATTTCATTCGTATCTTTGCCAATTACGTGTTTATATGTTAATTTGCTCACATGACATCAGCCGCCTTCACAACTTCTCTGCATGTATGTCTGTCACTGGACTCAATTGCCACCACAACCTTACCAACATAGTACGTAGGCGTGGCTTTTAGCTATTGGTCATGGATTTTATGCCCCTCTTTCTTCATGCTTTTCACACTGATTTTTATTTGCATTAATGGGGAAGAGTCTTCATTCAATTTGCTTTGTCCAACGTATAGATATGGTGGGATCTCAAGGGCTAGGTCCCTAACATATGGGTCCCTTTAGATGGGAGTTTGCTATTTGTTTACTTGGTATTTAATGTGTGGTCCGCATTATTGAATGCAATTTAGCTGAAGAGTCAGAAATTATGGATAGCTGAGCTCATTAAATAAGTCTCCACTGGTTGATGACGAATGAGAAAGATTAGGAATCTGATTTTTTATATGCCAAATTGCCAATGCCATGGATTTAGGATCCACGGAATTTTAACCCATTTGCTTGCCAATAGGTTAACTAAATGTAGGCTGTGCCTTGCTGCTTGGTTCACTAAATGTAGCCTGTAGATGTTGAATGCGTTGGACAAGAAAAAAGAGAAAATTGTATTCTATAGCTTCTGCCTTAGTTTCTTAGGGTAGAATGGATAATCTTTTAGATCTCTTTTACTAATACCGGGGTTAAATAATCAAGGAAAAAAAAGTGCTTTGTAACATCATTTCATTTGCCTTACTACATTAGGTAGTGCATGCATTCATGACTCTAAACGGTTGGATGTAACAAAGGTGAAGTGGCAGTGGTTGGTGCTACAAAGATAAGATAATATAGAAAGATCTCCGAGTTATGATTAGTTGGGATTGGATTTATTTATTGTTTATTGTTGTTTGATGGTTATTAGGGTTTGTATGTAACTGTTCCCAACTTGTGCCTTTGTTAAGCATTGTCGAATAATCATCTGCATGTTTTGCACCATACATTTTAGCAGCTAATTCTTAGAGGAGTTGGTAGTCCAAATTATATGCTATCTGACCATGCAGTTGTGGCATGATTGCCGTTTGAGCCCATTGCATATGATCTATATCTTTTCTTGCTGTATCCTGGAGTATAAGATCTATACTTATGCATACACTATTGTTTCGTCTGCTTAGGCATATTTAATAACGATGATGCAATTCCTGTTTTAACTTAACGAAACTGGTAGATAATTGGTCATGGTTACATTGGTTGTGACCCTATGACTGAAAGCGCATCTTATTCAAAGTCTCTTTGATATTGTTAGTGTACTTTGCTTGAAATCATGCTAACTTGATGAATTAAATAACATAGAGGTGGAAAACAGAGGCTATACAGAAATGTGATGTGATTGTATACACGAAGATCTTTCTGAAGTTCCCTTATAAGTTCTGGCCTTGTGGACCAGGACAAGAGTTCTTCCTCTATGCCCATGAGAGGAGAGGCTACTACACATTTTGGCAGGTTGGTTTAAATATTTGTCATTCTCGACGCCAGCTAACAATATATGAATTTTCATTTCCAGCAGATAAATAGATTCCATATGTTGTGTTGTGCACTGAGTTTCCAACTAGCCTGTCATATTTTCATGCCACGATTACTTGTTTAATTTAGTAAATAAATGGTCCTCGTCAAGGATCAGAAAATGACAACATTTCAAACGACCATGCCAAGTGTTGTGATTCATGCACCTTTAGAAAACAACAAAATTTACGATTGCGCACTTACAGGATCTTTAAACACAATCTTCACCTCGTATAATCATGTTTTGGCTGTCTGCTCTATAACCGAGCTGTCATTTTACTTTGAGTTGATAGGATGCTTCCCCAATGTTAGTGCATAAAATTACACATTTCTTCCATTTTAGATAACCCTCAGTAGTTGGTTATGAAACTTGACAGTGACCTTGTCGAGTATGCTGCATGTGTTTTAGCTTTAGTTTGTAAATATCTCCGTCTACAATTAGATAACAATATTGATTCCTGTTGTTCTTGTCGTTATGATTAACAAACTAGTATCTCTCGCACTCGCAGTATTAGTTTGAATGGTTCTTCCTTTAATGAAGCTACGATTAACAAATTTTTATAATGCGTACTTCAATCAAATCTCAAATGTGTATATTATTAAAATCATTTTCTTTGGTTTTATTAGGAAAGAAACTATACATATTATGGATGCATTGTGCGATGTCACTGTCTTTCATTTTACAATACGACTTATTTGACCGATATATGTGGAAATTTTCTAAACTACTATTACGACAAATAAAATAAAATATGAGAGTGATAACTATAGTATATTTTAACTTTACCACTAACCATATTCTCTCCAAGCTGGCTGCTAATCTGTTGCCATGTCATCAGCACATGGAAAATGCTTATCCTGGATCCAATATGCTGGTCGTGACGTTGACGAATGGAATCAAGGAGAAGCCTCCAAACCTTCAACTCGTGCACAGTAATCCATATTCAACTTGTTTTTCGATGAGTTTCCACGTCATTCGGTAAAGATAGCTGAAACTCTCCAAAATTATAATGTGTCTTGGTGTATGTTGAAGTGTATTGAGAGTTTTGGTGATGTTTGGATGTAGGAATCTCACGGGAAAGCTTCCTGTTTTTCAAGCGGCATCTCACTTTCAAGGCATTTTCCTGCCAAACCACGGGGAGTTAACCATCGTGCAGGTACCATCTCTTCATTCGTGAGAACTATGATTTTTAATTCGAATCACTCGATTTGGTTAGTATAAGGAAGTTATGAGCGTTTGATATTTGCCCAGAAACGGTCGACCTGACAGGTATCCTTAAACCGAACCAAAACCTAATTGAGTAACCCAGCCCAAGCCAAACCAGAAACCAGCCCACCCATAAATCCAGAACCCGATCCACCCGGATTCGGCCATCCCATCAGATCCCAATTCCAGGTCAGCGCGTGGGTCCGCACATGGGTTTGCGTGTGGGCGCTACTTGGCCAGGCATGGAGCACATGAGCCTCCACTAGAGGTATTATGCTCTGCCGTCGTGACGGCGAGCCGACAGCTTTTCAGCCAAACTTCTAGCAATCAACTCATCATGCGGCGCTGGCAGCAGTACGTAGGGTACCGAGGTTCCTTTAGGTTTTTCGATGTCCTGAATGATATCATTTTTTGCTTTGGTCAGGTGATGTAGGCCTACGAGCGAATGATTCATTATATGGCTTTGGTCAGTGATGTAAGGGCCTACGGGTGAATGAGCCTACAGGCAAATTATACTTAAAATGGCTTCGGTCGGGTGATGTAGGGCCTTTGGGAAATGAAGAATGAATTTATACATGGCTTCGGTCGGTGATGTAGATCCTAAGGCGAATGAAGGCCTATGGGCAAATATATTATAAATGGCTTTGGTTGGGTGATTAGGGCCTAGGGCAAATGATACTTATAAATGGCTTCGTCAAGTAATTTAGGGCCTTTGGACGAATGAAGAATGAAGATTTATATATGCCTACAGGCAGAAGATGAAGAGCCTTCGGCGATGAAGTTTATTATATATATAACCCATTTGTTTTGATAAAACATTGCAGGACCCAGTCATTTTAGGTCCATTTTATATCTTTTATCCTTTCAAATACACAACAATCGCATAACCACAAAAACTAGACAAAAAAATCACATTGAGTTCTGCAAAAAATTAAGACAATTACAAAAAAGAGAGTTCTTGAAAACCATCAATCTAGTCACCAAAAAATCACAAACAAATTAATTTCTTAAAAGAAGAAATTTAATTACAAAAGAATGAAGAACAATTAACAAACAACTCTTTGTTACAAACCATGAACAACTTCAAATAAAACTTGTTTAATGAATATGCTGACATTCCCAATGCTCTGGACAGAAAACAACACATTGTTTAAACTTCCTTACAATAAGGAATTTAATGAAAAGAAAATTCCAACAAAAGGCAGACGAATTCAAATAGTCAAGAAGTTATGGAATTCTGCAAAACAAATCCAGAACTTCTCAATAAAGGATCATTAGGAAAACAAATCACTCTGGTCTTGTCTTGTTTCTATTCCAAAAGAACACTGAATTAGAAGAGGAACACCTAGGTTAGTCATTAATACAAACCTCTTAATGAAGTCTTAGAATGGATACGATATCTAATTCCTAACAAAGAGATTTAATTAAGAGACTTAGTCAAGTTGTAATCTTCTCAAAATTCGACATGAAGTCTGGATTTTGGCATATTCAAATTCATGAGGATGACAAATACAAAACTACATTTTCACTCCTTTTGACCATTATGAAAGGAATGTAATGTCATTTGGCTTAAGAATGCACCCAGTAAGTTTCAGAATATCATGAACGAAATATTTAATCAATACAATCATTTCTCAATTGTTTATATTGACGATGTTCTCATTTATTCCAAATCGATAAATAAGCATTGGAAACACTTAAATATGTTTGCTAGAATAATAAGTCAAATGGATAGTTGTCTCAGCAACCAAATTTAAGTTATTCCAGACCAAAATTAGTTTTTAAAATACAATATCCACCAGTCAACCATTCAACCAATAGATAGAGTAATTCACTGACAAAAACCCAAATACAGATATTTCTAAGCTCTTTAAATTATGTTGCAGAATTTTATCTCATCTAAGGCAACAAGCAAACCCTTGTTTGATTGTCTAAAAGAAAATCCTTCACCTTGATCCAATACTCATACTTCCATTGTCAAACAAATCAAATCACATGTTAAGACTTTGCCTGTCTTAGTATTCCAACTCTAATTCCTTCAAAATTGTTGAAATTGATGCCTCTAAAATTGGTTACGGAGGTATTCTCAAATAATCAATTTCTTCTGGATCTCCTGAACAAATTGTTCGTTTCCATTCAGGAAGTATGGAATCCAGCCACAAAGTAATTATAGTCTACTAAGAAAAAATATTATCTATAGTATTATGCATTAGCAAATTTCAAGATTCCAGTTTATCTACAGCTATATATATATATAATATATATATATATATAACACACACACACACATAATACACCACTACTGGCCATTATACATGATATGTTTATAAGGTTTTATGGTATGCTAGGGCTTTCGGAAAACCTATTACTTATTATGCTATATGAGTTTTCTAAACTCGGGTTAGTACTTTGAGAATAAACTGTTTAGTATTACATATATATATAAACTTGGTCCGCTCATGTTTTGTTTTGATTTGCGCCCCCTCAGGATTTAGAGTTGAGCATACATCCCAGCGTCAAGCACTCCCGCCTTGGTAACTTCAAGTCTCCTCAGTGTAGGATCCATTCCTCTTGTAATAGCACTTTCTAATATTCCTTCCGCTTGTATTTTGAATTAGTAGTATGCTCTAAACATGTCATGCATTATCACTTTACATTGTTGGCAATGATTATTATATTAATTGAGGTTTGTACTTGATTACTATATTGCATTGTTACGTGCGAAAATATATGCATGTTTCACATGTTTTCGGATATGCATTCATAAATGGCTTGCATCACCCTCGAGTGTTGGCCAGCACGTGATCATCCTGTTGTCATTCAGACATCGGGATCGGGCGTGTCATATATTAATGCCAAGAGAAGACCACAAACTAATCAAAAGTGATCTAAGTCAATTTGCAATATTCATTATGAATGTAGAAATGGTAAGTAAACAAAAAACAAAATATAAGTAAAGGGCTGAATGTAAGAAGTTGTAAAGATTTGTTGAACATTAATAAGAAAAATAGTAAATTGCATAAAAAGATAACAAATTGAAAATTAACAACTAATAGGGCAAGTTTTTAGCCACATTTTTAGCCTATTCGGGCAAGTTTTAGCCACAGTTGGGCAAAGTTGTCCACTAATAGGGTAAGTGCTAGCAAATACAAAAGTGTTTGTAAAAGAGATTTCAATACAAGGACATACTACAAGTAATCACAAGCAAAGCCACCCACAAGGCTAAGGTGGGTTGTAGCCCAGGAGGTTTTTTGTAAGTGTAGTGCTATACATACATCCATTTTTATTTCTCACACATCCTGCTCAGTTTTTCGGTCTTCAGATTGAATTAAATTGATGAAGATCAATGACAAAAAAGTAATAAGGGTGTGTGAATAGCACTATCCTTTTTAAACTCATGCTTTAATAGTTTATATGTCACGCCCTAATCCCTACCTACGTCCAGGACGACATGTGATGCCATCAAAAACCCGTATATCTAACATACCGTCTCTGGGATATGTACCAAGCTCAACTCATGCCTCAAATTTGCATAGCAATTTTTTTTCGTATACTTTATGGCTGCATCTAACCTCTTCCTTAGATTGCCTACGTACCCTCAATAGGGATCAAGCCATTCGTAGTTCACCATTCACAAAATCAGACATTGTATCCCATTGAGTTCAAGCAGAAAACATAACGTTCCTCAATCATTTAATATAACCTGATAGCATGAAATTTCTGGGCTCAGGCTACAAACAAACCCTCATGAAATCATGATTTCTTTTCCATCAACATATAAATCATTATGTCTCATCATGATATTCACAATTCACAACATACTCATATTCAAGAACTGACGAAACACAAAACCATTCTCTAGCCACATTAATTAATTAATTTGATCAAAGTAATAACAATCATTCCCATATCTTCTAAATTCATACCTTATGAAATCATATCGAATCGTAGAAAATCTCGAATGAGTCACCCCAGAGGTCCAACATCTTTTCTAACTTAATTCACAAGATTCTCGAAACCATTGACACAAATATATATATAAACTAAGGCTAGAGTGAACACAGTTAGGTCAAGCCTACTTCTCCAAATAATGGGATTTCAAACCACTCTACGAAATCCAACAACCTCGGGTTCCGGACCACTAAACGGAACCGAACTAAATATGATCGCCTATCAAATGTACCAAGTACAACTAATCATCATCACCTCTAGAATGCGTATCGTCCCCATCGCGAATATACAAGCAGAACCATATGCATAATCTCATCGTGTAGACAGTGATCACCCATCGTGGATATACAAGCATGATCACCCTGAATACATATTGTCCCCCATCGCGGATATACCAAGTAGGACCACATCCTAGCTTTAGGTAGTGATCACCCATCACGGATTACCAAGCATGATCACTCCTAGCATACGTATGGTTCCCCCATCGTGATATATCAAGGCATGATCACCCCTAACAGTCCCCCATCACGGATTACCAAGTAGGACTGTATCATATAGCTCTAGGTAATGATCACCATCGCGGATATACCAAGCATGATCACTCCAAGCATACATATGGTCACCCATCGCATATATACCAAGCAGGACCATCCATGTACCACTACTACATGGTGCGGTCTCATCATTACACATTATAACCAATTATACGTATACACGCTATCGATTCCACATATCAACCAGCATCTTAGTCATATAGAGCACAGCACAAGGAATTCCCTAATTACTATTTCTACTAAAAAAATCTAAAGTGCTAACTCATTCTCCTGACTTTCATCCCTATCACATGCTAGGTAGTAATGCCAAGTTCAATAGTATTCAGTTGGCAATCATTATCCAAATAATTATCAAACAATAATTAGATCTCATAATTGTCATAAACATTCATCATAATTATCATTCACATTATTAAAAAAGATAAATTAAACACATATATATCACAAACATCATCAGTACACAAGCCAAATCATACTTAATAAGCATAGGTCTATGGCTAAATATATAAAAAAATCACATTTCAATAGAAATCATATTTATAAGACCAATTTCATATTCACAAATGATACCAATATAAGAAATTAAGATAATAATCATTATCTCATATATTCAAGTCACTATCTAACCAATATAGGCCCACTAGACTTCAGTTAGTCCCGTAATACTAATTTTATTATTTATAATGTTTCGAGACATGTTGACCACAAGTCAACTCTCGGTTAACAATAGGGTCCACAACTCTACGTAATTCGATCCTGAAGATCCACACATCGGATTTCTGATCCATAATTTCCCAAAGTCCACATTATGCTTCTAGAATAGCATACTAAAATTTCATTATGATCCAACGGTTGGATTGTCGTCAATCACACAAACAAGTGGCAGTCCAATTTGATCACCACACCAAACAATTGAATTTCAAGAAACTGAGCTAGACATAGGTTCACAGGGTCACTAGAAAAGTATTTGGTACTTAGACAATACTCGTGGACGGTCCCACGCACTGCCACACGTGGTGGTAGCCAAGGTGGAGGGTTTAGAAACCCCAAATTTTCAACATTAACTAAATGAGTTCAAATTTACCTGGTAGCTAAAGCTCAACAAGAGAAACACTTTTCACAACTAGACCGACGATAAATTCTAACCGGAAACCGTCCAAATTCACCGGAGAAAACCGGATTTCTAGGGTTCTAAACACCCAACCCTAGAATGAATATGAAAAGCACAAACAAAGCATACCAACTTGAAGATTATGAAGAGTAGATGAAGTTTCATACCTCCTTTCTAATTGGTCCCTTCCTTTTTTCTTTTTTCTTTTTTTCTGAATGGTCCATCAACAGCTAATCTAATTAGTCCTTAACTTTGATTGGTTACCATTCTCACATGATGGGAGTTTTAATTAATTTATAACCTATAGTTTAGTAAAACGATTTCAAACGTCCGTAACTATACCGTAATAATCCAGACTCGCAAACAGCTTACGCCTATGCGTTCATGGTTTCGAGATATATTCGAAAACGTTACTTGTGACCTCAAAAGGTCAACGAGTAAATAATAATTTTCCCAAACTTCATTCTGTAACTAGTTTAATTGAAATCTAAATTCAAATAAATTAATATAAATTCTCGAAAAATAATATAAAATCTCAATAATACAAATACGTATATTATAACAGTGAAATCCAGGAACGGGATTTCACATTATATTAGTGCATGTAGCCTATATAGGCCACTCAATTCCAATATAGGTTATTATTTCATGTATATTTAGTAGAGGATAGGTAGTACATAATACTTTTTTATGCTAAAGAAAAAGACCATTTACCCTATCCGATTTAGCCTTTGTACTTCTTACTCAAGAAAAGAAAAAGAATTTTCGTTTAGTTCACAATTAAATCCCTATTTCCACAATTCTACTTTTCGTTGTGATTTTCCAATGAATGTAACCTTTGGTCCGTTCTTAATCACTTTATTTACTTATTCATTTATTAAGTAGATTAATTATTGGAAGTTTTAATGAAACACTCCCGGTACTGTTCACTTTTAACAAAAATTACATTTTTACTCTAAAAAGTCACTCCTTGTACTATTCACTGACAACACATTTTTGTCCTTTTGATTAAAACTCAAAGTTTTCCAGCCATTTTTATTAGTTTTCCTTTAATTATTTATATGGTCCTTGAAGTTGTCGGTTAGGTTTATGATTTCAAGATTTGTTTATATTCTATTGTTGTTCTTTTATATTGATTACTATATAATTTTATATTGAAAAAAATAAACATATGGTTTTATGTCAGCTAGCGAAAAATAAAAAATTGGCTCCTCCCTTGCAAGTAATGTAGGAGAGATATAAAGGGAAATGGATGCTTAAAATACAAAAGGAATTTTGTAAAAACTAGGCTTGCAGAGCCTTGAAGTATTTTTGTATGTTGAGTTGAGTGTCTTTTTCTTCTTCATTAATGATGCCTTTATAGAACATCCTCTTACTTATGGAGTAAGCCTTTCCCCCTTAGTTCATTCCCCTGATCCAAGTTGCTGATGTGATTGCTGTCATAGGATGAGTTTCCACTTGGTAACTCGAGCTTTTATCCTCTCAGAACTACAACCTGCCACTGAAAAGTACTTTTTCTTCTGTAATAATGGTTGAACATCTTTCCTTTTGTGTGAAAGGGGTTTTTTGTCGACCACAATGCCACGTCATAAAGTGCCTTTAAAAATTGGGCTAAGCATAGTTTATTTGGAAGAAAAATAAATACCCATTAAGCCTTTAGTCCAGAATCTAGTGTTTTGGGCCTTACGCAGGCCCATTGCTTGATTTCAGTCCAAACACATAATCCAGTACATGTTAAGTTGTTCCAAAACCAGTTGAAACAACATAAAAGTTCCATTTGGAAGTCACTTTCTACTTCTGCAAGTACCCAAACCATAGCCTAGTGGAAACTCAATTTGAGCCACTTGATTTGCAGTACAAGCTGGTCCACAAAATTCCATCACAGCCGTTCATCACAATCATCACCTCCCAAAACAGAGCCTTCACTTGTAAACGCAACGCCAACGCAAAGGATTGTCTCTCCTCTCTCTCTCTCTCTCTCTCTCCCTCTCTCTCTCTCTCTCTCTCTCTCTCTCCTGCCCCAGTGCCCCGTCCTAAATTCATTGCCCGTACTCATCCATCTAATCCTTCTCTGTGGACTAGATCGCTGATTAGAGAAAGAGGGCCCTTCATGACCAGTCGACTCGGGTCAGACTCAGCTCAGGCGGTCTCCAACTCGCTCTCGAGCTCACTCCAGCTCTAGCTGATCATCAACGACACCGTTTCACCATGACCCAGGTGTTTAATTTTCTTTAGTTTTTTGTTTTCTCGGCTTTTGAAACCCTGGATTTCCATCTAGAAACTTATACCATGGAAAAATGTCTCCAAGTCGCCAACTTGATGGCCTAATTTTAGCTTGACTTGCTGATTTTTGTGTTGTGGATGAAGTTTCCGATTTGGGTTTGCTCCAATTAGGGTTCTTTCCCATCTCGGTTTCTTCAATTTTGTGGGTTTTCATACGGATTTGTTCGTGATTTTTTATTACGATTAGGGTTTTTTGAACTGTGCGCCAAATGTTGTTCAATTTGGATGATTTTTGTGGTTCTGTGATTTGGGTTTCATCAGTTTTGTGGTGAAGCTAGGGTTTCTGATCTGGGTTTGTTAAATTTGTGATATAATAAGCCTTTTGGTTGTGTGAATGGGTGAGGAGACGTCTGATGCAATGAACCTTGACCTGAATCTGGGTCCTGGTCCCGATGCTGGCTCAATGTCAAATGAACCTGTAAATTTGGATGCTTGGACTGAAGCGCCTATCCGCAGAATTTGCGGAAAGCTATGAGGAGGGCCAGGCAGAGGATGGCCGCTACCTGAAAGGCGGAATATTTCCACGCTACCTGAAAGGCGGAATATTTCCATGCTACCTGAAAGGCGGAATATTTCCATGGAGTTGAATGAATTGATGGTCAACTCTGGTAACTCAAGTACATTACAACCCGGTGAGGGTAGCCTTACAGCAGAAGAAAGAACAAGTGACGCACCCAAGACATGTGATAATAACAATGGGATTTTGGAAAATGAGAATTCTGAGAATAAGGATGATGTTGAAAAGGGCGGTGGCAGTGATGGGAGCTTTTTCGATTGTAATATTTGTTTGGACTTGGCTAGGGACCCTGTTGTGACTTGTTGTGGTCATTTGTTTTGTTGGCCATGCATTTACCGTTGGTTGCATGTGCAAGATGCAAAGGAATGCCCTGTTTGTAAGGGAGAGGTAACAATGAAGAATGTCACCCCAATCTATGGTCGTGGAAACAACGTGCGTGAGCAAGATGACGACTCAAATCTTAAGATCCCTCTTAGGCCTCATGCACGTCGGGTTGAAAGTTTTAGACAAACCATTCAGAGGAGTGCATTGAGTTTTCCGGTAGAGGAGATGATTCGCCGTCTTGGTAATAGATTTGATTTGACTCGGGATGTTATTCATCCATCAGAGCCTGAGAATACCCGGGAAGCAGCAGAAAGAACTAATTTGTTAAATAGGATTCTGACATCTCGAGGACTGCGCAGAGAGCAAAATCCAGTGGTACTTGCAGATGATGTTGTGGATTTAACGCAAAGCAACGTGACCGCTGTTGAAACAAGGGAAAACCGCCAACTTCAGTCCTTACTACTTAGAAGGACACAATCGCACAGAGCAACACTATCTTCTCTCTCGTCTGCATTGAGTTCTGCTGAAAGGTTAGTTGAGGCATATTATCGTAACCGTAATAGAAATCAAGAACAACAGCAGCCTGCACCAGTTGATGATAGAGATTCTTTCTCAAGTATTGCAGCTGTTATAAATTCAGAGAGCCAACTGGACACAGCTGTGGAAATTGATTCCATGGTTTCCCTTTCAACTTCATCTTCCAGAAGAAGAAATGATTCGTCAAGAGTTTCGGACATGGACAGTGGAGATTCTCGTGCCCACAGAAGAAGAAGACTTAACTGAAAGCATCTTCTTCAGCCCACAGTAGCCTGCACCAGTTGCTGATAGAGATTCTTTCTCAAGTATTACTGCTGTTATAAATTCAGAAAGCCAACTGGACACTGCTGTGGAAATCGATTTCATGGTTTCCCTTTCAACTTCATCTTCCAGAGGAAGAAGTGATTCGTCAAGGGTTTCGGACATGGACAGTGGAGATTCTTGTGCCGCCAGAAAGAAGACTGAACTGCAGCATCTTCTTCAGTTCACCAAACGTTATCCTGTATGTGCTCTTTGACTTTTATTTTATTACCCTTTCCTCCTCTTAAATGCCTTTCCCAGTTCAGACTCTAGGAAGTATTCACCTTTGCCGTAACCTTTGTCCTTTGACTTTGATGAAGTGTGATTATGGAACTTCCGCAGCTATCTGCTTGATTTATTTGTTTTTAGATTTTCATATAATGATCCTCCCTTAACCGAAGGATCTTAGGCTTTCAATTTGCATGGCAAATCATTGTACACTAGTACTACTAGTAGGCCAGTTTCGTAGTTCCATTGTAAATAGACTCATGAACTTCTTACGCTAGCGTTCATTTGGCATAATTCTCTATAATATTTAAACTCGCTTCTATTAATCCTTTGATTCTGTGGAAAACCTGCATGCCTTGTACTTTCCTTTTTTCGATATCTAGGCATATAAACTGCCCTTGCTTGCTAATCCTGTCAGTTCAATTCAACGCTCAAAAGCTTGATATATAGTTGGCATATATGTATGCTTTTTCAGCCATGATCATGTGCAAGTAGAAGAAATTGTTAACCTTCTAGCAGGTTGATTCTGCATAAACATGGTAGACAGATCCCTCGACCAGTGAAACGTACATACTACTCATTTTCTTGTCAACCTTTCGTATCTGCTTCTATGCTTAACCAGAAAAACTCCAAATCTAGCCAAAGTTTTATATTTTTTGCTTCTTTTCATGTCGCAGACATCACAAACGACTCATGAATAGATGAACATACGAATTCTATCGACGAATCGACTGACCTGCTTCATTTCACAGAGACAGTTAATAGAATGATGATTAAATCCTAGCCTCTCTTCTGTACTCTTCTGTACCCAAAAACAGTTTACACTACTATTTCAGGTTAATCTGGACCTCCTCCCTCTCTTCTGTACTCTTCTCCTACATCTTCGTTCCTTTTCCACTTTCTCAAATCCTAGCCCTCCAAGTTCAGCGTAAGATGATGATTAAACAGCAGGATGGTATTCGAGCAGAACTTGCGACTCCGCATCAGCCAAGGTTAAAATGGGTGCAAAAACCATTGTGCTGTCTTAAAAAAATCTCTTCCATATTCATGTCTTATTGTACGAAAATTCTACAATGCGCAGGCGTATGGGATTCATCGAAACATTAGCCGACTCGATTTGCATGACTAGATTATGAACCTCATTCTAGCTGTTTAGACACCGGTGTATTGTACAAAATTCTTTTTTTATTGTAATCCTGCTGCTTTTATCTTCGTCACATGAGCCATGGTTTTCTAGGTTTATATAGCGGTCACTACTTAATGGGATAAGGTTTTGTCGTCGTTGTAGTATACGAGCGTCAAAGAAGAAAAAATATCTTTTGAGCACAAGTATACAGGATTTGCAACAGCAAAAACTCTTAGTCTTGTGATCTATGAAGTAAACATGCAAAAGACAAAATTTCAAGCGATACCATGGATACAAATTCTAATCTTGCGGTGAATGTTCAAGGATCAAGTCTAAATTAGGGTAAAAGTTCGGAGACTTGTTGGGGTTCTATGTTCTGTTACGTAATCAAATTGACGAAAAATCTACAAAGTAACCAATAGTGGATTTTTTTTGTTAAATTCAAGGACCTTTTGGTTCAGCGATCAAACTTAATCTAGAATGAGTTCAATGATCAAATCTAATCTAGAATGAAAGTTCAGAGACCGATCCTACGTTTTGATCCACAAATTTGTTCCACCAAAGAAATTCGGGCTAAAATTATTAAACCAAGCAAGCCAGACACTTGGACAGTTCTTGGAAAGGAAGAACCGAAAGTTACCTTACAAGAAAGTTGGGACTTTTTTATTTCCACGTCAATTGTTTGGTCCAAACTTCCATATCGTTGCATATCGACAGCAGGAGATTTCAAATCCAAAGCGTTGTATGCGATTTGCTGCTACTTTTTTCAACTGTTTATAAATACTTTTAAAATGATTGAAAGTATTTTTTATTAACATAATCTATAACCGATCCCTAATAAAAATGCAAGTGAATTCTGAAAAACATTTGGATCCCAAACACAATTTAACCGAAAACGTTTTCAGTCATTTTAAAAATACTTCCAAACGAGCTTAACCAAACACTAGTTCCATCTAATTTAGCCACTCGGATTGCCTAACATGTATATGATAGTTTCAAAATCCATCGGCATTAGGACTTGTTTGGTGCCTAGTAATATTGTACTGGACCAAAGCAGGAAATGAATATTGTTTATACCATACTTAGGGCCTCCGTATTTAGATCTCGTACAAATACTCAAGATACTTAAATGTCATTATGTAATAAAGGAATGGGCAAATATGTAATAAGTGATGAGCCCTTATTCTATAAAATGACTCCTCACCCTCACAATTAGAGAAGGCCAATTCCTAGGCCCTCTCACCCCCTCTCAAAGCCTCACTCTCATTACAGAGGCTCTCACACTCACTCCCCTCACTTCTCAGAGAAATACAATAACCAGTGTGGACGTAGCCCAAACCTTGGGGTGAACCACGATACATCTTGTATTATTTACTTTCTTGCAGATTCACGGTCGAATTTACGTTATTCCAAAACCTCCGGTTTTGTGCATCAACAAATATCAATGTCTGAATCTTGTCTAGTTTGAAGATAGAAGAAAACTTATTCTTCCATCCTACCAAAACTGAATGTAGAGACAAAATTTAATAAGTTATCTAATTTAATATACAAGACACAAAACGAAACAAGACCTTATATATCTAGGTTAATTATGGCTTTAATCTAATTATTGTAAGCATTGCTCGTTATTATTTTACAAATTATGCAGAAAATTAATTAGCTAGGTTCTGTTTGGTATGCCATAGAAAGTGTAGAAACACACGGTTTCTAATCACCTATCCCTTGGTTGGAACTGCATCTTTATCCATGACTCATGGCGAGCCATGCCGATATAGTAGTTCTGGCTTCAGCTACCTTATGTCTATGGCATCGCAATCTTGACTTTTGATGCCCATGATAGACCGTGTTTATCATATGCTGGGACACACAGACACTGATAACCACAATAATAGTAGACTAGTAGCAGCGAATTGTAGGGCAGTCCGAAAATCCTGCACAACAAAAACAAAATGCAATCAATCTTCACTTCTCATATTTTCTAAATTTTAGTCAAGACCGATACTAGCACAACTCTTTATATTTGTCAAGTCTTTGAGTCTTAAATTACTTACAGTTTAGTTTCAAAACCGTAGTTCATCTAAAGTGCGAATTCTCATATTAATGGAAACATGAGTACTGTTAGATTGACGAGTTTATATTTCTTTACTAGGTATAGGGTTTTTTTTTTTTTCTTCTTGTTTTTGTAATCACAGTCTATTGATTTATTCCCGTTAAATGATTAGTAACACTAAAGATATACCAATCAATCTATTGGATTCTCCAAATCTGACTCTATCACTCTGCAGATTAATAACATATGTGGGACCGCAGGTCCCATTGACACAGGTAAATAGTATTGTTGCTACTTGCTTGGTTTGATGATGACGACGACGATTCTGTTTGGGATATGATGTTGGACATATGAAGCCCGGAAAGTGTGAGAAAAGAGAATGGGAGCAAGATGATTGGAGAAGGCAAAGGCCATGATTGAACACACGGAGAGTGTGTTTTAAGCCATCCCCTCCCCCTTGCGGCATTGTCCCATGGTCAACAATCCTAGCTTGTCCTTACGCAAGCATATCAATTTATATTTTTACAGTCGAATAATATAAGTTATCTTTAACTTTTGAAAAACTAAGAGATATAGGAGAAATAAAGTTCATCTTATTTGGTATTACTCTGGCACTAGTTATGAGAGTCGTCAATCTCTTCCTAAATTTTATGTTGCCAAAAAAAAGTTTCATCATTATTTCGTTCACACTCAACATCTTAACAGAATTGAATTTTTCCTAGCTAAGGGAAATGAGAATAGGACTATGGTCAAAGAATCGTTGGCAACTGTCGATTGAAATCAACAAGAACAATAGTATTTCGTAATTCACGACACTCGAGAGGATTTTTTATTTTTCTACAATTGTAACCTTTTTAGATATGGGTAAGGACACCGTTTGCTACACTCACGTCTCCCAAGAAAGGTTTGTAATCTAA